AGGAGAACTATTGGGGCCTTGGGTATAAATGGTCAAGGGCCAATAGATTGTAAGACGTCGAGGCCTCGGGTATAAATGGTCGAGGGTCGATGCACAGTTCAAGCCTTGGGGATAAATGGCAAGGTCGAACGCTAAGCCTCTGTAGATGAATGTCGGGCCTTGAGGATACATGGTCAAGGGCCAATAGATGGTGAAGTCATCGGGGCCTCGGGTATAAATGGTCGAGGGCCGATGCTGCAGGGTCGGGGCTCTGGGTACAAATGGTCAGGGGCCGACTCTACACGAAGGAGATAGCTGTGGAAGGGTAGGATAACTGTGATAAGCATAGAGGTTCTGGTAATGTTAGGGAGACTGGGGGTTGGTTGTTAACATGTTTCCTGGTTGTGGTTCTCACTAATATGTTACGAAATGTGTATATGTTTAAATGTATAATGTATTGAAAAGCATGATTACGAATGTTCCTTGATATAGTTGAGCATGACGTGTGTGTGGGTTGGTGAGGGCTACTTACGGAGTATATTTTATATACTCACCCCCCCTCTACAATGATTGTTTCAGGTGAAGGACTCGTGGGTGACCATGGTGATGGGACGGAGGAGACATGACGAGTGAGGACCATAGGCTGCTTAGTTACTCCTGTTTAGTTTAAGTCATTTGTTAAGGCCTTATGTTATGCCAATAGACGGTTTATTTGTATTTGAATAATTGAGAGAATTTTTCCCTTGTTGTTAGTTTCACTTCGGGATAGGGGCCTATTTGAGTTTTATTCCATTTATTTAGATTCATATAGATTGAGAAATAAACTTGCCTCGTGAAGTGGTTCACGAATGTTGTTGAATGTTGTTGAATGTTATTCTATGAGATTGATTTAACGCTAAATTGATGAGGATTGGAACTTGATTTTATATGTTTGTTGAATAGGAAGTTGACAGGATGTAGTCGGGGTTAAATTTTATTAGTTGGGTAGTTAATGTGACCTAGAGGTGTGTGGGAAATTCTGGGTCGTTACAGAATCTCTTCGTGGACATATACAGGGGCGGATCTACAGTAGGCCGAGGGGGGCTCGAGCCTCCCTCAACTTTGAAATGTTTGGATTATATACAAA